ATTCAATATCCTGAAATTTTCACATCCGAAATCTTTTCCAGGTGAAAAGCCATACAAATGCCAGTTATGTGACAGTCGATTTTCGGCCCCCGGCACCCTGATGACTCATACCCGTACCCATACCGGAGACCGACCTCACACATGCAAAATTTGTGGTAAGAGCTTCCCTCAGCCTGGATATCTCTCAACCCACATGCGTACCCACACAGGGGAAAAACCAATCAAATGTAAAATTTGCAACCAACAATTCAACCAGAAAGGCAGCCTCATTGCCCATATGCGAATCCATAGTGGAGAGAAACCGTATCCATGCGAAGAGTGTGGAAAAAGTTTTGCTGTTAGAAGTACTTTGGTGAAACATACCAGAACTCATACTGGGGAGAGGCCCTACACCTGTGAAGTATGTGGACAGAAATTCGCGCAAAGTGGAACTTTAGTAACTCATATGAAGGTTCATCAATTGAAAAAAATGTAGTCACAAAAAAATTAGAATGAACTGAGTATTGTATTTTGAAGAGCAATTTTTGTTGAAAACTACTCTGTTGAAAAGATAAGGTGAATTCTCATTTTTATCAATAAATGTTCATTTATCCATCAATTTCTATTTGTACCTCTTCAAAGTAGTCTTCCTCTTCCTTGAAGCAGTTCTGATATTCAGTTTTTAGTATGTCCTCTCAGCGGTTCAGGTCATAGCTCTCAAGCTCGTCCAACCTCATCTCACAAACAAGTACCAATATGTTGAAGTGAACAACATAAAGTCTGACCTTAAAGAAATGAAGCATGGCGTTCCTCAGGGCTCCATTTTAGGCCCACAATTCTTGATACATGCAGTTTTATGAAACCAGCAAGATGTACCTTGTTTGCAGATGATATGAGTGTATTATGTTCTACAATGACTTAACCAGCTGACAACTAATGACGCGAGATAGCGAAACATTAGCATATAAATGCTTTAGTGATGGAAAAATGAAAGAAGATTACCAATTGAATAGTGATGTCTCCAAGATGAAAAATTTCAAGAATATAGAGAGAAGTAAAAAAAGTAATCAGAAGTATGTTCGGTTTTCTCGTTCCAAGAAATGAAATAACATGTTTTATTTACAGGTCATATGAAACCAAATCGAATCAGATGATGAAAAACAAAGAAAAAGTTCCATGTAATATTTGTGATAAATCATTCAGATATCGCAGTGAATTAGAAAGACACAAATTAACACACTCTGGTGATAAACCATATCTGTGTAACATCTGTGGTAAGGGTTTTGCACAAATGGCTTATTTGAGGATACATACATTCATACATACAGGTAAATTTGGAATAATAAAACTAATGAAAAACCTTTATTGTCTAGATATATGATGGAATTGGCCGATACTTGATGAAAATCCACAACGTATTCAAAAAACACTTTAATGTGAGATTTTCATTAACAGTTTTACAAAAACGCAACATGTGTTTCGCCATACAATGGCTTCTTCGGGTGTGTCTTTACTCCACTGTTTAGTGAAAATCTCACAATGAAGTGTTTTATGAATATATTAGATAACTAGATCCTAAATAAACACTTCATTCATAAAATTACTTCAACAAATCATTTATTTTTGCCATTTTTTAGCATATTCAATATCCTGAAATTTTCACATCCGAAATCTTTTCCAGGTGANCTCTTATTGATGATAACTCCGGGCACTCGCACAGGACATGCCTGACAGTCTCATCTTCCTGTTCACACATCCTGCATAGAGGTGTGTCCACTAGCCCCATATTATGTAGGTGTTTCCTTAGCTGACAGTGGCCAGTCAGAAATTCTACTGTAAGGCGTAGATTTTTCCTGGTCATCGCCAGATATTTCTTCGGCGCCAGCTTTCCAGGGTCGCCCAAGGTGATCCTTGGGCGACTTTTGACTTCTGGTGGGCTACACAAATTAGTATCATCAAGAGATGATCTAACTCAGCAAACAAGAGACAATATTTCAAAAACTGCAAAAATTAAAACTAAATTCAGAAGAAAACAGTTACAACAGTTTTCCTAGCAGAAATAAATCAATTACTTCCTTGACCAAATTCAATTCAGTCCCTGAACTAAGCTCGTGGTGAGTTAGATATCCAAAAGAAGGCTCTTTTCTAGATACTAGCAGAAGCTTTGAAGGTTCTGCTTCTTGAAAAGTACTTGTTACATTACTGTAATTTTTTTCAATAAACATACCCTTTTGTGGAGTGTTCGAAGGACCTCCTGGTTTGTACTTGTTCTTGATGGCATTCAAGGAAATAGCCCCCTCATCTTCACTGCCTTCTTCTTCCCTGGAGAAACTTGCCGCATGAGATCTTGCACCACCATCGGCCTTCTTTCTTGTCGGTTTTTGTTTAATAGGCGTCTGCCTCAACTTTTCTTCTTCTTTCTGAAATTATTCATGAAAAATTCATCGGTGAAGAACTTCGAATAATCTCGGATAATTTACCTTGAGCCGCGTTGCCTTGTCTAAATCTGGATCGACACCCACTTGAGACATGATCTTGATACCAGTGGTTTTCGTAGAGCGATCTGCCAGAGACAGAGTCATCTTCCTGTGAGTGAAACTCTCCGTCGAGTGGGGCCTGAAGCTCAGTTTGGTGCGGAACACAGCCTGACCTTGCAGACCAGTACCTTGCCTGATGAACAAGTGGTTGTGGTCACCCTGGAAAAGAAAAAAGTTATTGTTGAGAGGTGCTAATTTACGGATAGGATTCATTCGTTAAATGTAATAGGATCTGTGAAAGTTTGATGAAATGAAGTTCTGAGGTGTAAATTTTCTACGAGTTACATCATTCCCTATTGCGTCATTTCTGAAAAATAAACAAAACTCAAATAATTTTCCAATTGAATTAATACATACATTAATAATACATATTGACACTTAAGCAAATTTTCGGTTTTTTTACTCAACTTCAGGCATTTGTATCTGAATTATCAAAAGACAAATTGAGTAATCCTTTTCATTTTAAATTAAAAAAACTAAGTTAAGTGTTCGATCTATGTTTATACTGTGGATCTTTATTATTGTTTATATATTTTTTTATTAATGACGTCTGATATCATCTAAATGATTGAAAAGATGAATAAAGTTATTGTTATTATTATAAAGTTTCAATTTTAATTTTTCATGAACTATGTTATGCTTTGATTGATTTCAAAATTGATTCATTACCTGCAAGGGTTGTTTGTAAACGTCAAATATTTCAGCCCCCAAGTGTAAACTGTAAGAACCATCAGACCATCTGACTATTCTAGCATTTGATTCTTTCTTTATTTTTCCTTCATCATCCAGGACTTCCTTCCACCTTATTGTATTTTCCACTTTTAGTTTCAACCTGAAAAAAAGGAGGAAATACAGTAAGCTATGTGATAAATTGGCTGATACTTTGATAAAAATTCACAAAACTGTAACATATATAATAGCTTCTTCAGGCGTGTTTGATACCAAGTTAGTACTGAATTGAATTGAGTGAAAATCACACCATACAATAACATTTCCAAAAAAATTGGTTGGGTAATTATTTTTAGAAAAACAGTTTTTTCTTGGCTGTTTCGAATTTTATTGAATTCTCATTCAGGGCTCTGTAACAATGAATTGTAGGCAGTGTTGGGACCACTATTGTTTATTCTATTTGTTAACGATATGTTTGAGTATATACAATACTATACATAACAATGTATGCAGATGACACCTACGTTAGTCATGGGCCAAACAATAGACAAACTAGTTGTCAAAGTTAAAAGGGTTATCGATGAATTTACGTCTATTTGTGAGCATAATCAATTGATTCTGAACACTTTAGTATCAATTCAATTTTTCAACAATAATAGCTAGGATATCTCAAATTAAACAAATTTTTTTCGCTTT